GGGACTCAGTACCTTGGTCTGGTGGTCTGGTGTCCTCTGCATCTTTGTAGTGTGGAACCAGGTGGCTGCCTGTCTGCAGCGGGGTGATTTGGCATCTTCCGCCCAACTCAGGACCTTGGTAGGGCATGCACAGACCTCGTGATGTTGTACCTTTACATGAGTATCCTGGTTCTTATTTTTTGCCCTTCCCTTGTCCTCCCTTCTCCCCTTCCACCTTTCTCTATTTGCAAAGACTTTGTTTCCATTTTTTTCCTTTTCTCGTATTTTTTCTTTTCCCTTCTTTCCTTTCCCCTACCCCTCCCACTTCCCCTATTCCTTTTAGACCTTTTCTCCCTATTACACAATATGAATTATAAATTTTAAAATTTACGGTATCAAGATCTGGAAGACATTACCACAGATTTTACAGATTTTAAAAGAATATAGAAACCTTATTACAAAAATCTTCTTTGAAATAAAATTTGACAGCTTCCAAGAATTACCTTGGAAGCCAAATTAATGAAACTGACTCTGGAGGAAATATAAAATTTGAATAGCACCTATTAAAGAAAGTATATTCATAGCTTGAAAACCTACCTATATGATAAAAACAGGCTCATATACATTTTAACTGATAAATTATATCAAACATTTAAAGCTGAGAAAAGAAGGAACACTTTTCCCCTCATTTTAGGAAATCAGCATTTGCTAATAATAAAACTGGATAAAGATAATAGAAGAAAAAAGTACAAACATGGACAAAAACTTGTTTAACAAAACAAATTATTAGAAGTCAGATCTGGCAGGATGTAGAAAGTGGTTTTATTATAAGGATGGCAGTATTGGTTCAACGTTGGAAGATCCACCCCCCAAAAGTCATCATTTTAACAGAGGAAAGGAAAAAGCCATATGATCCCATCAGTAGTTGGAGAAAAAGTATTGAATTAAATTCTACAGCTGTTCATGATAAAAAGCTATCCAGAGACTAGAAGCAGAACAACACCTTCTCAGCAGATAAGCCATGTACTCCATACTTCCAGCAAAAATGTCTTATATGAATAGAGAAGATACAATGCTTTCTCCCTAAGGTGAGGAACAAGGGCTGATATGCCTACTTTTCATCTATCTATTAAATTTTGAAACATAGGCCCAAATCAAAGTAGTCTGGCAATAAAATGACACAATAGGATAGGATTGGCAAGTTAGAAGTAAAATCTTTATATGTAGATGAATTGATCATCTATAGAGAAAATACTAGGAAATCTCTTGGAGCCCTTTGAATTTAGCAGTATTAGAAAACACAAGGTATATGTAAATATTCAGGTCTATGTAGAGTTGCTCTAAATGAAGAATTGGATATTGAAATTTAAAAGTTATGTAGGAGCACAAAGGATGTCGAAAAGTAAAAAGAAGAAAACAGTGTTGAAAGACATTAATTACCTAATTTTAAGACTTCCTCTAAAGCTACAGTAATCAAGACAGTGCTGATATGAGGAACGACATATAGATCATTGGAATAAAACAGAGAATCTAAAAATAGAACCACACATATATGATCCACTGAGATTTGAAAGATTATTTAACATTAACATTTTATAGAACATAAACTCAATTCAAGAGCCAAGGAAAAGAAAATGTTTTCAGCAAATTGCACTAGAACACTTGGTATGTGTACGTAAAAAATTAACCTCAACCCTTTATTTCCATACAT